GTTTTGACTATCTCACCAGTTGTCACCTAGGTTTGGGTTCTGTGAGGCCCATATACATTTAGTCTTGGTTTTTCTACTACATCAGCCATTGCTGAGTTTCCCTTGTTGGCTCTTATTCTACTACTTCATTTCTATCTGTAGGAATGCTTCAAGGATAAGGAGTGTACTTTCTTCTTCTCCCTAGGTATTCCCTCTCTTTAGATTACCTTGTTCAATGCCCCTACTTAAATATTTCATTTATACTCATGACTCCCAAATTTATGTCCTTAGCTTTGAACCCTCCCCTGAGCTCTAAGTGTATATTAGGATGTCTAAAAGACATGACAGATACTACTGACCCAAAAAAAAAAAATATCTATTTTCATTCCTACCAAAACACATGTCCCTCTCTCAATTTCGTGTGCCTTTTCAAATAGCATCATTCCCCTTGTTCTTCAGCATTACAAAAGTGCCATTAAGGATGTGGTTTATATTTAATTCATGTGTAACATTCAAAATGGCATTCTGATTCATATAATGAAGATTATAATAGTAGCTTCACATTTAGAAGAGATATTAACTTAATTCTTAGAAAAAGCACTCAAGTTTCAAAGAAATTGACAAAGCACAAACGTCATCAGGATGCCACACATAACATGCACAAATTTCTAAATAAAAACCTAGTGTAGTCTGCCCCCAAACCACAAAGTAAATAATCTGTCGACACATTTTTATTGAGTGCTTCTACTGGACTAGACTTGTACTTCATGATACTTTTACCTTAGTGATCTAAAAAGTCATGACTTCAGCCCTCAAGTGGACATAGGAGATAGGCAATAAACAAGTAATAAATTAACAGTTACTATTTAAAATCAGGAAAGGGTGATAGATTTAAGGAAAGTCAATATTTAAAAGGTGACAGAAAGCTTCTCTAAGTTTTTTTCTTTGCTTGTTTCAACTGAGTTCAACAAATTCTGAGAAATTATGATCTGCAGACACTGTGCAAGGTAATGAGAATACAATGATGTATAATGTATATTATCTGACACCAAGAGGATAATAGTCTACTATCCATAACTATTAAAGTGATGGTTGATGCTCTTTGATTTTCCTAAATAAATGCTTATTTCACTTACTTAGTCTGAAATCTAATTTTGAATATCAGAATTTAATTTTTATTCTTACTGTAATTTACCTAGACCATGATTTCAAATATGTTAAATATAACACCTACTTTGGAATTAATATATATCAAAATTTTGTATATGTTGTCATTGTTTTTTTCTGTAATTATGTAAGAAAAATAGTCCATAGTTACTATGAATTTTATAACTCTTTAAAATAAGTGTTTAGTTACTCAGAAGACAATTTCTGTACATTTTAATTATAGTCATATATATACTGTAATGTACATTATTTAGTCTTTGGAAATTCATACATTTGGAAAATAGATTCACTATGCTTGAATTTTCTATTGCCTCCTACCTGTACATGAGAGAAAAAGCAATGCCATACATTTGTACAATGCGTGAAAATCTACAGGGGAGGAAGAGACTAATAGATGTGGCACAGAGGAATTTTAGGCTAAATGACTCTCAATGATACAATAATGGTAGTTACATGTCATACACTTGTGAAATCCATAGAATGGAATACATGTGAACCCTAGTGTAAAATATAGACATTAGTTGATAATGATGGGAAAAATATAGGTTCACCAATCGCAATAAATGTACCACTCTGAGGTGGAATACTGATAGTGAGGAAAGCGGTGTATGTGTGAGATCAGGTATGTGTGAGGTATGAGAACTCTGTATCTTGCACTCAATTTTGCTGAGAGCTTAACACTACCCTAAAAAACAAAATCCACTAAAATGAAACAAATAAATATATAGGGGAAAAACCTATAAATGTGTGTACATAGGTGCATATGTATATATGCATAAACATGGAGACACACATAACTATGTTAAGTGTATATTAAACACATATGTGGTATAAATATAAATATATTAACATGTTTGTATAAACACACATGCACAAAGAAACTTAATGACACTCTATCTGTATATATTATTAATCCTCCTGAGAGCTTTTTGAGATACATACCTTTGTCATTTTAATGGCATACAATTCAAGACAGAATGTTGACATCTCTACCAAAGTTCACTTGGCTGTAAAGGCCACAGCAGGGCCTTGCCCCTGACCTCTGTTGTTAACCATTTTTTGTAATCACCTTATTACCTTCTTCTGCTGAATTAGTATCATTATAACTAAAAACATCTTTTGAAAAATGTCTTAAAGCTTACAAGTTATATTTCAACATTTGTGTTGAGGACTCTAGCAACCTTGTATTTAACTAGCTGTTTTTATTTGAGGATTGTATTAAGAGCACAGCTCCTTTTCTGTAGTTAAAGCAATAAGGGCATTAAGAGAAAGAGATATTAAATTTACTTTGGGATGTAAATATTTTTCAGTGTGTGATGGCTTACGAGAAATCCCACATGGGCACTAGTAAATGATATATATTTTTGCAAACTTTCCTCAAGCCATGAGATTCTTCAAGGCTGACATGATTTGATTTGGTGAATGATGTGGGTGGTGTTAAAATTGAGCCTTTTCTTACATTTAATTGAGGGAGTTAACTTGCCCTTTGTTTAAAATTGATATTTTTCCTGATTCATTGAGTAACCACATCCCTTAATACCGACACTTCTAGGCTGGCTAGAAGATTCAGACATCATTACTGTCGATTTAACTTAATCATTTTCATTTTTAAATTAAAGTGAACCTTTAACCACCTATCACAACCCACTGTCTTTTCTTCATCTATGTGAGTGTCTACTGGAATGGTCAGTTTACACATTAATGTCTTTTTTTAGATTTTTAAAATGAAAAAAAATAGCTGACATAATACTGCAACACAAAATGCAAGGTCACCTGTCAGGAAAAAGGAAAACCCAGGTAAATAATCTCAGGAGCAGATTTCTTAATGTTTGGCTTATTCCACATTTATTTAATACTTAAAACTGCCAGAATGGGTGCAGGGCCTAAAAAGAACTTGGTAATAGGGATTTAGATAGAAAATTTTGACAGTTACATGACTGTATAAGAAAGTTCCAATTCAATGTTTTGGAAATGTATAATTTTTGCATGAAGGATATATGACTGTTTTTTCTACATAATTTGGAGTAATTGGCAGGTACCACTCTATCTTATTTAGTGTGGGTAGTTTCTCACAAAAGGTAGGTTTGATTGAAAGATGGCAGTGAACAATTATTTTTCCGCTATTTCCATAGAAATTCCTACCAGTTTTTAACTGATTAACCTGTTTTTGATAGTTAATCAGTTACTTAAGCTTTCACAGAATTAACTAATGCCTGCTTTAATATCACCTCAAATCATAATAGAAAATTGTTTCCATGTCCATCTTGACACAGACCAAATCATCACACTGAGATTTATCATAACATAATGAAGCCTAACACTTGTTTGTCCCTTACAAGATATGTAAGTTGCATGACACATTCATACTATTTGCTTTTTAAAACTGGGATACACTGTTAACTAAATGCTACTGAATTCTCTGGTCAGATGGTTTGGGGTTAGTAAGAAGTAATTACCTGGCCAGGCGCGGTGGCTCACGCCTATAATCCCAGCACTGCGAGGCCGAGGCAGGTGGATCATAAGGTCAAGAGATCGAGACCATCCTGGCCAACATGGTGAAACCATATCCCTACTAAAAACACAATTAGCCTGGCATGGTGGTGCGTGCCTGTAATCCCAGCTACCTGGGAGGCTAAGGCAGGAGAATTGCTTGAACCCAGGAGGCAGAGGTTGCAGTGAAGCAAGAGCATGCCACTGCACTCCAGACTGGAGACAGAGCAAGACTCCATCTTAAATAAATAAATAAATAAATAAATAAATAAAAGTAATTACCTCTGTATACTCAGCAACACCGTCTATTTTGTCCAGATTACAAAGGTCTGCTCTCCCATTGGAGGGCATTCTCTGCCACAGTACAAAGGCCCACGTACTAGCCTATTTCCTATGTCACATTCTCAAACATGGCTTTCCACAAGAACTTCCTCTAAGAAACTGTTCCAATATGACAAGTCCTGCATAAAACATTGGTAAAAAGTATTGTGTTACTCTATACAAATTATTCTCACTTAGTCTAGTTGAGTGAGAACTTAAACTTGACCTTTATTTTTCCACTTTAAAGGGATATCAGAATATTTCATGTCTTCAAGTAAGCTTTAAATTATTAATTTAATAACTCTAATCTTCTTGAATCTATTCCAAGTTAATATGGTATTGGTTATGCATGGTTCTGCTACCAATAAACAATGTTGATGAAAGATAAATGGAAAAGTATTTTATGTTTTTTTCTAATTAAAATAAATGGAGAATTATACTTATCAGCAAGAGAATAATGAGGCCTAAAACTTTTTTGTCCCTTAAAAGATATGCAGGTTGCATGACACATTGATACTATTTGTTTAAAAACAAATGGTATACACTGTTAATTAAATGCTAGCAGAAAATTTTTGAAAATTTTTCAAATTTTTTTTCAAAAATAAACATATACTTTGACCACATGCTGGAAAAACCTATATTTGTAGACTTATTTAAAATAATAAGGCTAAACTTTGAAGGCAATAAATCACAAAATCTTTAAATATAAATATTAGATATACCTTTATGATTTCTGCAGTTTTGGTGTTGGTGGGGGATGCAGGTTATCAGCTATTTGAGCCTTCACAGGGTTAATTAATGCCTGCTTTAATAATAAATCATAATGAAAATTTATGTTTTCATGTGGTCCATTTTGACACAGACCAAATCATCACACTGAGATTTATCATAGCAGGAATGTTTTGAAAATAAATTTTTAAAAATACCTAATTCGTATTGAGCTAAATTTCATTTGTAATGTTGCTTTCATAATTTATTTGGTATATGTTTATTTTCTGACAATATTTATTGAGTAGGAATACCGTTGTGAGTAGCTGAGATGTAGCCAGCATCTTTCCCTTTATTCTTCTTAATAACCTTGCTTCCTCTTGTGAACTAATATCTTACACACACACACATAAAAACGGGCTTTGCCTTTTTCCATGGGTGAAGCATGAAACGTGACTTACATCAATCAGCCCAGTATACTCCTTTATCAAATGACTTTACTAAAGGTAACTCCCATTGTCTTGGGAATTTTAGAAATTAGTTTTTTTTTTCCCTTTCTCTCCATCACAGGGTTAAAGAAACGAAACCTAGAATAGCTTTCATTATTTGCTGCCATGCAGAACATAAAGCTGAGGGGTTAGAGCCAAGAAACATCCGAGGGAAATTGATCTAAATCCTAATCACATCTATTGCTAAGTCAAAATTAACTCTTGGCATTGTTAATTATGTAACATAATAATTTTTCTGCAATTTATTTTTCCAATTTGAGTCAGATCTGCAGTTACTTGTAAAGAAGTATACAACATATAGGGCATTTGTTACCAGGAGTGGGGTTACAGGTAATGGGCTAGAATGGTTTTTAAAAAAGAACTCTGTCATACGAGAAGGTAAAAATCTTTGTTCTTCAGTTGAATAACAGTTGGTTTACTTTGGACCTCACAACACATGCTACCAATATTACAGTATTCAGTAACTGAAAAAAAAAAATAGGTAAGACAATGGATTCTATACTAAAAAAAAAAAGATGAAATATTGCTTTGATATTTACTTCTGAAAACAGACAGAAAGGAATGTTTTACCAAGAGTGGCTCTTCTGTCTGTGATCTGTAACAAAAGTATTACACTTAATTTTGAGGGTCCTCCATGCTTGGGAGAGTTGAATTACTTAAACCAAAGAGAGAGCTGGCTATAAAATATTCAGAGATGACAGACATAGTAGGAGAAAATATAAAGGAATAGGAAATACATGGCCTTCCCCTAGCATATTTGTAAAGTATTGTCTTATTGAAAAATTATATAAACACATTATAGAAATAAAACTGAAATAAGGATTGAGAGGCAATACGTATAAATACTCACCCACTAATTCCCATTGTTTCTATTGGCTTCTGCAAAGATAGATTATACATACATGTGTATGTAAATAATCTTCAAAATATGTCTTATACAGATAAATGTTCCCCAATTAAAGATAAAAACAAATAATAACAACATTATTTTTCGAAAGCCTTTCATGTGACTATCTAATTTTCAACTTATTGAAGGTTGGTACATGTTTTCCAAATGTAATTAGCTGACATTCTTTTTATACACATGCCAAGTAATATTTTTCAATATGGTACACAAACAATATTTTTCTAAGATGTTGTGGTTACTGATCTTATAAGGCCTCATTATGAATCATTTTTAATAAACATCTATAAAAAAGACTAAGTCCAATATCCTTTTTAAAGTAATATTTAATTTCATGAATTCCCATTTACAAGTGGAATGGACAGGAATGATTTTAACTCTTCAGTAATATTTTTATATTAATGATATTTTGATGCAATATATATGGCAATAAACCTCCATATGTGTTACCCATTAGTACTGTATTTTTTAAAATGGGGATGTAGCACTAATAATCACTACCTGTAAAATAAAGAACATTATTATTTTGGTGATTTTACAAATCTTTTCTGAGTTGTAAATTCTTAAAAAATAAACTCTAACAATTAGAGAATACTATTTGATTTCCACCTTTTTAGTACTTTTACCCCAAAGCAAACATTAAACACATAACCTTGATAGGACAGACTATCTGTTTGGTATTATGAAACACTGGTGGGAATAAGAACTAGTATCACTGATATGCAAAATTGTGCGGTTATCTCTGCAAATCATCAGGAAAATGTTGAAAGGTTAAAAATCAAAACAAAATATAGTGGTGATCCCCAAAACTATTTTGACATTATTTTTACGATGAGTAATTAAATCTCAACCAAAATCTTTTTTTTCCCATTCATAATAATCACCCTAACCTCAAATGTCTTTAAAAAATACATGAAACAGTTCAATAACAAAAACCAAAGAGCACGAACTATTTTCAAAAACAGAAAAATCTCTAGTGCAGAAAGAAATCTCAAAGAGCAGATTCCTTTGCAGACGTTAATCAATGCGCTTGCAAATATTATGAAGATTTCTCTTTCCTCTTTGGCAGACAGTCTACTCTATTTGAAGTTTCCATTCCCACTCCGTTTTCTGTTCTTTTTTTAGAAGACCTTGACCGTTTCTTCTTCATACATGAGGCCTGAATATTAGAATCTTCTATCCACCTCTGAAGCCGGAGAGTAATTAAGTTCCATGTTACATAGGCTTGGATCGTGCAACTGGACGACAGAACAGCAATTTTAGCTGCCAACACATTCACATTTCCAGTGATGGCATCAGGATTCTGATTCTGCGATCCAGCCAGGTGAAACCCAACAGTGAGTACGGAAACAATTAAAGTCATAAGTCTACCCAAGATAAACACAATGGCCCACAGAGATATGCCTTTCTGGTACTTTTCATCACTAAAGTAAAACAGGCCGCACATGTGGGAAAGTAATTCAACAAAATAATGCAGTACCAAAAGAAGAAGTCCCAAATGATTCAAGTACAACAGATAAGCTCCAGTAATGTGAAAGAGGTGAAGACCAATGTAGACAAGTTGACGAGGGATGTCCTGTTTTCTGATTTTCTGGAAGTAGAGTTCAGGAAGAGCATGAAACCAGTAAGCCAATTGGGATATGTAGAAAAACTTCATTTGAAATGTCATCATGCGATGGGGATGAGCCCTCCATATGACAGTTGGGTCTGACAGGCAGTTTTCAGAAATTAAAATGAATGTGCCCCAAATACAAGAAAAAAAGTAGAACACACTAAACTGACCAGATTCATTAAACTTGTTTTGTTTCGCTTTGGTGAACTGCATTCTCCTGTTAATTTTATCCAACACATATTCCTGAATTGTGGCATGAATAATGATTGCCACCAGCATGTAGAAGAAAACCGTGGCCAAATCTTTGACACCATAATAATAGAGGGACTTTGATCCCGTGGCTGGTTCCTCTGCTGCAGGGACAGCAACACTGTGTTGAAGAGTGAGAAACACGATGGATGCTTCTGCTGTTCCCTCGAACACAAGCCCCAGCAGGAAGAACATCCCCACGCAGGAGACGATGTCCGCATGATTCTGCAGGATGAATTCCTGGCTCAGAACGGGGGGGTTCCTGGCGCTCTTCTTACGGAGCCCCATGGTGGCGCTTCCCGGATACTCACCGGAGAGCCGCAGCTGCCTCCCCCTGGCTGCTCCTCACAGCGCCGCCGCCACGGTAGCGGCTCCGGGGGCTCCACTTCCCATCCTGAAGTCAGTCCCGGGTCGCCGCGGCCGCCCAGAAAAAAATATAAATCAAAGGCGAGGGCCGAGCGGAGCTGAGCATGCGCACCAGGGGGACGGCGGAGGCAGGGAAGGAAATCGAGCGCCGCGCCCCTACCCGGCGCCAGGCCCAGGGTTGAGAGCGGTGATCTTCAACGTTGATCGTCGCTTCTTCAAACTCACTGCCATCGTCAATATGCTCCTGAATTCTTTTTTCAGTGGCATCTTCATTAGTAATCATGATAAACCTATAGAGCTCTGGTTATTCTTCAGATCATTAATTATGACAACAATAGCATAATAATAACAGCAAACTCCCAGTACTACTTACCAGTTGCTGTGCTGTGAAGCATTTTATTTATATTTATGAATTTAACTTTCCTGAAACACCCAATGAGGTAGATACTGTGATAATCTCCCCTCCTCCACCCCTTTTCAAGAGACAAAATACTGAGGCACAGAGAGGTTAAGTAACATGGCCAAATTCACATCCCTAGTAAGTGTTAGAGCAAAGATTTAAATCCAGTCTAGCTCCAGAGAGCGTGCTTTTCACTATTACACAGTACTGCCTCTTACTGTAAATCAATTATACCTGGAAATATTTACTGGGTCAACAATATAGCATTTTAAAACTAGTTCCCCTATTTGCAATAATAGTAATGTTTGCAATGATAACGTCTAGCCAGTATTTTGAAAGACTGAGTGGCAGTTAGAAGGAGAGAAGTATTAGTTCATGGAAAGGTCTTTTGGCTACAAAGCCCAAAACCGAATCTCTTCATTACAACAGATAAGAACCTCATATGTCATTTGTGTAGATTTTGCATATATAACTTTGCCAAAATTTACATTTCAAAAACAGCTTCTTCCTTAGCGCTAATATCTTTCTCAATTCAAATTTCATGTCAGTCTTCGAATTTCTCCTTCAATGCAGAGTGATTTTCTTGTTTCTTCTGTGTCTCAAGAGATTACAGTCATTTCTGATAGACTTAAGATTTGAAGTTCATAATACACATTTTAGAAGAAAAATTGCCACAGGATTTAACGAATAAAGCATGGAGTATATTTAGGCTGTCCCATTGCCTTTTATCACTGTTTCTCTGTATCCCATACACTGGTAACAGATGCAAACCAAATTGTGTCATTACTTTTATGATGCTGAACAAAGTCCTCTGATCGATGGAAAGTGCACCTGCATTTCCTAGAACAGTCAAATTATTGCATATAGAATTGTTGTGGAAGGTGTTCCTGAGATAAGGAAAGTACCTACATATTTTTCCACTGCAAGAATTCACTATTTCTTGAAGGATTCCTTATTGAATAGTATATTTTTTTGAGGGTGCACTGTATTCTTTGTTTTCCTAGCTTTTTCTCAGTTCTTGGCTCTGAACTAAATCATCGAGGAATAAAGGTCTAAAAATTAGGGCACCAAGAAATTTAAAAAAAAAAAAAATCAAACTTGTGGATAGCAGTCCTTAGGAATCAAATACAAGAACAGTGCCTTGAGGGGACTGTCAAGACTTTATTCAAGAAAGTAGCTATTTACCTTTTGAGACAAATTATAATTTTAAATATAGAATTCATTATAGACATAAACAATGTGACTGTGATCATTTTGTGGCACAGTAATTAAATATAAAAATTACTTGTTTAATTTCTGAATTTGTATTTGGCATACAGACCTCCCAACATTACTTGTACAAATAGGTAGATTTCAACCTAAGAAAAAAATCACATATCAAAGTGAACAATGCACATATTTGTATATACATTTTAAAGGTTATTTTGCTATTAAGGGAAAAAAGCAATTATGGGCTAGTTTAAAATTATCTCTGGACTTAAAAAAATAAGCTTTTTTTTTTTCTCTTTCTACTTGCTTTTCATGTAGAGGAACTTTCTTCAGTGTATCATCTCTCTCTTTGTTGAGCTTATAACACCAAATGATTCCCTGTATTGTAAAATTCTAATCTAAATTTTACATTTAATGTAGTCTAAGTGTTTGAATTTTAGATTCAGATTTCACCAAAATATCCTCATAAAACATAAAATGTCATATTAATGGAATATATAAAAGTATTTCAGTAATATTTTATGATATTTGATTCCCTTGGTTTTCTTGGCATTTTTATTTGACAAAAAATAAACTGTATATAGGAACATTTTCAAAAATTATAACACCACTATGATTATTAAATCATATAGTATATTTTCTGGGTATTCTTCCTTTATGCACAGCTCTATGTCTATGGTACAGATAATTATTAAAATTCAACTGGAGACTTCTACTTCCACCAATAAAGTAGTAACTGTGTTTGAACTTTTACTCCTGTTGTAAATAACTTTAACACTGGACAAAATATATGAAATAACTCTTTTCAAATAGTTCAAAACACACAGCATAGGACTATGATCTGTGAGAGAAGGCAGACAAATGAGATGAGTCCGATAATTGTCCTGATTTTCTCCTGGAAGCATTTTCCAAATCAGCCTGCAGGAAAGGAAAACCCAAAAGCTCTATGCTTTTGCTGAATTGAGGAGACAGAAATTAGGAAAAGCTGAGGTCCCTGAAATTTGCTGGACAGAGTAATTGTGCAGAGAAAGTTAGGTGGTTAAACGAATTTCAGAAATTTGCATACGTGTTCCCTAGATTCTGCTACTAATATTAAGTTGTGCATGTATAGGGTTAAAATGCATAACTCCAAGTGAAAAATAATGGAGGAATTGTGAATTGAAATTTCCCAAGACTTCACATAGGACTTGGAAACTTTCAAAATTGCAACAGCCAGAAAGTAGAATCCTCATTGAACACTTGTGACATTCAAACAAGATCCAAGAAAAGCTACACTGTTTTAAGTAAGGCTAAACTTGCCCTAAGGAAAAAGTTAATTCATGCTTATAAACACAAAGTTTATAAAAAGCTTTGAAAAGGTTAAGGTACTCTAGGACTGTCTACCAGAATGCCTACTTGTGACCTCTAAGTGCATTGTTGGCATTTTCATGAAAGGGTGGCTTAATGCTCCAAAAGTGGGATTTCTAGCAAACAAGACAGAAAATGCATGGCCTTTTATGACCTAGTATTAGAAGTCATATTATATAGTTTTCAATATCAAGGTAGGCACAACCTGTTTCACTTCAAGGTGGGGTGAGGATGGAGAGGAGGGTGTGGACCATACGCATCACCTTTTAATGAGAAATATACCTAGTATTTGCTAATTTTTTAAAGAGCCACATCCTTTCCATTGGGAATAAATTTTGTTTCCTCTGACATGAAATATACACTATTTCCTTCCAATGCAAACAATAGTCTCAAGTCAATATAGCATCAGGTTCAGTCTTCTTACACAGGTTATTTTTGTAAGCTAAATTAGATTTAGGAGCTGATAAAGGAAAGTCCTCTCCTTTGTTGCAGTTACTCTTGGTCTGAAGTCTTGTGAACTAAAAGAAAAAGGTTTCTGGCTCCCACACACCCAAAGCGTAGGAAAAATGCAATAGACACTTCCATCTAGGAGTGAGAAAATGGGATATAAACAGCAGTCAAAAATCAATAATAACTATAAGATACATCCAGGTAAAGTTCCTAGATTTTGGTTTGAGTCCAATCTTCCTTTCTAGGAAATGGTGGAAGATTTTTTCCCTAAAACATGGATTAAATATTATAAGTTGATTTGTTTCTGTTTGTTGACTTGCGTATATTAAAAGATAAAAGACACTAGAAGCCAAATAGTGTTAACATAATACTGTTAATCTTTGTCTTTGTCATGTAATAGTCATTGATTATAGAATTAATTATGGAGTATTAATTACACATTAATACTTCAAGGAATTAACATTGCATAAATAAGTTTACAGGTGGAATCCACAGAACAACATATGAATCAGTTTCTGATTATCCTTAATCTTTGCTGGGTCTCATGTATTCAGACGATTGCCAGGCATTGGTGGAATTATGTATTTAAAATGTTATATTAACTTTGTTATAGGAAACATTTGACTTGAAAATATCAGTAAAAGTTCTCACTATAATTAAGGTACTGTATTTCAAATAGATGTTAATAATTAGTGCTTGCTGTTAGCTATGCAATACAACCCTTTGATATCTGAATTTTATCTCCAACATTATTATTTATATGAATAGCTTAGCTATAGAAACCTCTTTTAAATTATTTATGTGTCTTTTTAAATAATTACCTTAAAGGTATAAACTGACATTGATTCCTATTTTGCTAAAATAGTAAAGTACAGTAGAAACTTTATAATATAGAGGTAGCCTCACTTTTCAATATTTTTATATCTAAGAATAATATATACGTGTATACCTCTATAATACCAAACTTTTAATAACTTAAATTTGGATTATTCAATTAATTAAATTGAACATTAATATTCCAGAATTCAGTTGCATTTGAAGACGCAAGAAATGTTGAAAAAGAACTACTTCAAAATATCAGACCCAAGTCTGATTTTTAAATCGATGTTCATAATTGGCATTTATAATTGACTGAGTTCACCAAATGCTTAGCTCAATTAAGCAAAAAAAATATAGTTTATCTCGTGCATGAAATTACAAAGTCTCTTGAGATTTGACCGACTTAAAGTTTTAAAAAATTTAATTAAAGATATATTTATTATTTCAAAGTCATTTTTATAATTGATAAGACATGTTAAAACATGATCTTTTAGAAGAACGTACACTATGCATTATGGCTAAATATTTAATGTAATAAGGGAAACTCAAAGTAATATTTACAGCTTTTAGAATGCTTATTTTCCCATGGATTTATTGGAAACCTACCAAGAAAAAATATGAAGCACTATCTAAGGGTAAACTTCTGGAACAGGTTAATAGTGTCAGTCTACCACTAAAATGTAAGAATTGATAAAATTAAAATCAACATTTAGTAATTTGTTTTTTCAATTGCCCCTTTTAAGGGTGAAAATAAACCTTATACCCAACCTCATGGAGCTTACATAATAATCAGGGAGAATTAGAGGACACAAACAGTACAAATATATGTGTTTGCAAATAGCCAGTGAAAATTGCTGGGAAGAAAAGGTGGATAAGAAGAGGAAGCATATAATGATAGCTATTTTA